CACATTACTAAAACACAAGCGCACACACGTACGTACGCATGTATGCACGCACCCACGCACTCAGTGCAGTGTAATTTTGCGCAGAAGATCAAACACACCGGCCTGCTCTATATTTTTGGAAATTAGTGTAAATATACACAAAACTATCGGTTTATTTGAGGTTAGTCTAGGGGCAATTTTATATTTTATTTTCTATATATCATCATCACCATATCAGCCTTTAACCGTCCACTACTAAACATAAGCCTCCCCTTGGGGGATTTTGACAGTAGTTGCCCCGTTTGGCAGGCAGATTGGCAACCGCACTTATATTTAAAGGGATGTTTTAAGACGAACGCTGCTGCCCATCCCTCACTCTCCCCTAGTCGTCTCTTACGACACTCACAGAAAATTCAGGGCCAATTTTCTATACGTTTACAAATAAATTATAAAAAATAGGATTCGACAATGTACCTTTCGGGAGCCCTGAACCAGCAATCTTAGCGTGTGATAAAGTAGGTGATGAAAACTAAAATTCCAACGAAATCCCTTTATTTAACAGATATGTTTAAAAAAAATATCTTCTATTTATAAAATGTCTATATCGCATAAATAATAAAGCTTATATTTAACGCTTATAAGATCAAGTATCTGAACTTATCCCTACCTTTTCAATAACATACAATCTACCACCAATCTATTGACGCTGAACTGCATTCGTGGAAATTATTGTAGATACCTACGAGTACATCGTTTTTACTGGCTAGAATATCCTGTATTATTAGAAACCAGATAACGGATATCTAGTTGTAGAATTCAGAACAACGAGATTCGGGCTTTAATATAATAATAATTCTTTTTACGTCTAATTCTACTTTAAGACGACATTTCAAAAATTATTGTCTCTTATAAACAGTTTCATATTTCTAGACTCACCAGTTTAAGGTATGAGTTGTTTAAAAGCTTTATTATTATAAATAGATTAGATTTAATAAGCAGGTACATATAAAAATCATCAACAAAGGCGAGATTTGATATTACATTTTGTGATAATAAAAATCTCTCTCTTGAAAATTTAACTGTATAAAACAAGATTGAAATCTCATATGTGCTTGATATTAATATCTATTTTATTATTGTAGTAAAAAAATATATATATTTAACATTTATTTTGAAACCAGACATTATCTGATTTCTGACTGTATTTACTTGATAGATTGTATAATATTACATTGTATAATATAATATTAAATATAGCAATGGCAAACCAAAGCATAAGAAATTGGACTTTATATTGTCACAATATAATTTTGGATATTAATAACACTAGATACTTCATAAAGTATAGATTATTATATAGTTCCTATTCCATAATTAATATGCAAACACTTCCACGTAATGGGGTGGCGTTATTTTATCGAAGTGCCTCATAACCTCAGGAATATAATTACTTATATTCCTGACATTTACATGTATGATGGCTTTATATGTAAATGCACTTAAGCAAAAACCACCGGAACATGCTATTTTATAAGACATTTCTATCTTGATAACAGACGGGATCAACGGTCTAATTAACCGTAGTTAGATAAAGCGAAAATTGGATTTTAATAGTTACCTATTTATTTCAGTAAATGATTAATCTTGACAAGTTATTCCCCTTGATATCTTCTTTTTAACTTACATAATAATAATCAAATTGTAATTTTCGTATATGTTTACATTAGACAGCAACTTAGGTATAAAAGAATTAGGCTAAGTAGGTACCTTATAGGGTAAATATATTATTAAACATTTTTGGATTCCTTTCGGAGTATTAACCTACAGTTCTTATTCTTATGGTATTACTTTGCTGCTGCACAAATTTTAAATTAACTAAATTCATTTTATTAACGAAACTAATAAATTATATTAAAGATCATCAATTAAAATTCTTTCAATAGTCTTGAAAAAAAAAGAGAAGCTTTTCAATTCGATTGTATTTGTTCTATATTTGTTAGTTTATAATATCGCCAGTTATAAACCGATTCAGAAAAGTATTTTTATATTAGAAAGAAAATACGAGTACCTTACTTACTTTCAGTTGGGTCCTATACAAATTTTATCTAAATCGCTTCAGTTCAGTTTTTAAATTAAAATAACTGATATTGCCGCAATTGAAGTCGCTTTTTTGCGGAACATAATCTTAAATTTTACGAAAATTAGTTTTGTTTTTGAAAGATAAATAAAGTCAAGCAATACATAAATTTGCTCGGCCGAAACACTAGACTTAGCGCGAAATCTCAAACTTTTTGATTTATGAAGCTGAATTTTGACAGATTGAGATGTAGACATTCGCTAACAAAGGATTCCCACGGTACCGGGAGATAACTGATTTTACGTAAAGCTATGGGAAACAGCTAGTTAATACGACAATTTGTTTAAATTACATTGTCTTCAACTCCTTTCACACTTACAAATATTTTATTCTGTTTTATATAATATACACCGCAAGTTATTTCTATGTAATCAACGTCGTATACAGAACACGTACCTAGGAAGGGTATACACAATCCCGCGGGACCAAACTTCTTACACAGTCATGCATATTCCGCATACAACAGGACCTTTAAAAATTTAAAGCCATTTTGACACAATTTACATTTTTGTGCTTCCTTGTAAAGTCTTTATTTTTACATGTTTTTTTTTCGTACATATAGCTAGCTGTACTATTGTTTCTCTGGAGTAAAAATATGTATTAAGTATATGTTCTATGAAACCGGCTAATGGCAACCCAAAACAGCCGTAACCAAAAGAGGAAGAAAAAAGAAAGTATATGTTTTTCAAATAGAATATAACTGAAAACCTACTTCAGACGATCAACTAATAATAAAAGGAAAATTAATAAAGGAGTTTATTTACCAAAAATATAATTATAATTGTACCTAAAAACTTTTATTTATTTATTTTATTTATTTATTAAAGGTATACACAACAGGTTACAATCAATAACATTATAGACATTATATAAAGATAATAGATTAGATTGAGACCCAAACAGGTGTACACACAGCATGGTTAAAGCAGTCGGCAAAGAATGTTAAATTATAAAATTATATAAAGAAATCATATGAAATTATATAATTATAATTGTACCTAAAAACTTTTATTTATTTATTTTATTTATTTATTAAAGGTATACACAACAGGTTACAATCAATAACATTATAGACATTATATAAAGATAATAGATTAAACTAGATTGAGACCCAAACAGGTGTACACACAGCATGGTTAAAGCAGTCGGCAAAGAATGTTAAATTATAAAATTATATAAAGAAAGCACATGAAATTGGTAAAAAACAGTGAAGTACATGCAAATAATTAAAATACATAAAGATATGGACATGTCAAAGAGACTTGATGACTGATTGTAAAATGCTTTTGAAGGTGTTTAGACGTGAGTTGAAAATATCAATTTGAGGACATTTAGCAGAAAATTCATTAAAAGTACGACACATACGGATAAGCGGGTTATAATACGATCTATTGTTCTTATAAACGCAGAGTGCAAATATTTTAGAACTCCGTGTTATAACTATAACTAAATAGGATCAAATCGATATCGTAAGCGGCATGTAAACCTAAAAATCTTTTATTGCCCTAGAACTTATATAGAAGATATTTTTTTTAAATTTGTCTAAAATCCTAAAATGATAAAAAAATTGAGTTGCCCATACTAATTCTTAAGCTGTATATGCTGTATCAATATTTGAGCCTACAAATTTTCTTATCCTTTTTTGAACCTGTTTCTTTGACGGAAATATTCAGTTTCGCTGGTAAAATAGCTTCTTTGAAGGATACTAATAATTTCAATTTGAACTTGTTGTTGAGGCTACTCATATAATATACAAAAGTAGTTTAAATATGAAGGTACAGTACAACTTGTGTTTCTACCGTCAAACTTCAAGGAGTTGTTAGTAATGGGGATTAAGGGATCCATTACTAGCAACATACCCAAGTCGACCTCCACGTGGTTCCCGCTAGAAATTATCGTGATGAATTCGTCCCGCTAGGCCGACTGTCTTGACTTCATAAACTATCATCGATTACTGACGCCCCGCCTGTGTATACTGATAGCACAGACTGAGTAACCATTCCATTATCATCTTATAAAAAATGCTTACATGGTTCTAAATTTACAGCATAAGAAGATTTAACATCGACATTATTTAGATCAGACATTGGTTGCCAGATGGAGATCTTCCGAAAGGTTTCTTCCAAAATGTTTTTATAATTTTTTTTTTTTTACTAGACATTATTAAATAAGATTATGTCAATTTACTAAATGGAAGTGTTGATCTTCATCTATAGAATATGAAATACGACATGACCTAAAGCACATCTCATCAGAGCCACTGCTGTAAATTAATAATTAATAGTAAGATGAATTTGTATTGCAAATAAAACTTCAATATCGAAAATTAAATATGTAATGTATCTAACTAAATAATATTTAAAATCACAAAAATCTACATGTACTTATAACAATTGAGGTCATTTTTCTCTGACAGGCAACTATTGAGCCGCTAAAATTACACGTTGAGTTGAATTGAAAATAGGCTATAGGTACCTACTCACCACGTGGTTACTTTTAGTACATTTTAACAGTTTGTAGGATTTTATATACCATTAATTTCATAATTATTTTATATTTTTAGATAATAAAAAACTTGGTTTTAATTTTTTTATAGCTTTATCTATCTAATAACTTCATATAAAATAATGTTAAAGTTACAATTGAAGTAAAATTTATGATCTAAATGTTCCCTTATTTAAAAGAAATATTTGGGTAATTATTTAATATTTCCCCTCACATAAAACAATAAAACACTTAAAGTTAAGTAATAAATATTCCTGGCAGCTGTGGTAAGTGAAACTCTGGAATTGGTGCCCAACGTGGGACTCGGGGAATTGCGGTAATAATATGTGTTGGGCGGAGGCGAGCGAACGGAAACTATTAATAATATCACCTGTCATACCTTTATTGAGCTTGGAACCTCATGGTTTCTGCTCTACAACGCTCCAAAAATATCGATTCAAGACGAATCCAGCATGTCGGCCGCCCTCCAGGGCAGACGGCTCCTCTCGCTCTATGTACACATAGGACACAACACGTCAAGCGAGATATCAAAACCGTTTCCCGCCACTGCTATTTCAACACTTATACTTTCAATAGCAAAAAATCCTTGCAGATAATAAACCTATGAAACATAACACATAATTTTTATTTTTATTACATCAATTTAATTTAAGATATGACTGAAAAATAGACTAAAAGTTTCATTATGTCGTCCAATGTTGAGACGGGTAATGTACCGTCCTCTCGCGCTTGCTCGACCCGACTGACTGACTTTCCTATATTTTCCCGGCGCAAGCCTTCACCCCTTGTAATCGAGCACGTTCGCAAAGATATAACAGTAAAAATCTAGATAGATATTCTGCATTCCTTTTTCAGATTCAGTAAAAGAAATTGTTGTGAATGCTAGACAAGCTTAATTGTGCAATGAAGATGAAACAATTTATTCCATGAGATTTAATTGGATGTTCCAATATTTTCTAAAAAAAAAAATATACGTAATTAACAAATATTCACGAAGTTAAGCTATTTATTATCTATGTAGTAAATTATCTACAATCTAAATTATCTAAAATTATTAGGTTGCTTAGGCTTAGGGCATAAGAATTATATTAATAATAATTAATATAGTAGGTACCTACGTAAGTACCACAAATTAAAAAGTGATACGTGTATACATAAATATAGTAAATATATCAATAAAATTTTTGGGCGATTTACTTTAATATTATTTAAAAATAAATAAATAAAAAAACTTAATTTTCGTGTATTACTCTTGTATATAATAAAAAACAAAAATTTTAAATTCAGTCAATCACAATATAAGTATAACGATTCCCACTTCCTACATTTAGCTACTGTTTGGATACTCGCACAAAATTTTATAATAAAATATTTATATTTACCTATATGGTAAGCAATATTCAAATAAGGCGGTCTTTAAAAGCTAAAACCAGATGGCGCATTGTACTATAAGCCCTTGTCATTTCAACTATTGATTGTTGTTTAGTTTTACAATTCATAATCTTATTTTTATTAGTTTTTATGTTTATTTCGTATATTGTTCTGTGAAAAAAGATATGCGGTATTCAGATATATATAAATTTTATTGTATGTATATTATACAATAAAATTAATAAATACAATAATTTAAAAATTCCGGAACGAAATTTTTAATTATTTTATTGTTAGTAAAAATTTTTTCCAATATTTAATGTTATATCTAAACCAATATAATATTCATAAAAAATAAACACAAACAAGTAGCTATGACAGGGATCATAAAATGATAGCGCCATCTGTTTAAAGTTTTCACTAACCACTTGTCTAATAAAATAGCCATCTAAAAGATAGGCTAATATTTAGGAACACAATTTTTGATAAATACCTACCTAATAAACGTTTTATTAAATATTAAGTATTAATAATTAATTAATTATTTAATTAAATATTGTTACTTAGGCACCTGTGTTATTTGTATTTATATATATATATGCTAATATATACCCTGTGTTATAGATTCCTTATATGAAAATTTATTATGGATATACCTGTAACATAAATTATCTTATTCAAAATTTTAAACTAAAATATTCTATATATTAAGTATATACTATCTATATACTGTCATTAAAATATTATTATATTAGGTAAAAGCCACGGATAAATATAATTTAGGGTGAACAAAAATGATGAATTATGAATGAAAAATTATGTATTTAAAAAAAAACTGGTCTTTAATTCTTTAGCAAAAACAAAAGAGAGGAAAAGAATGATAATTTTTTTACATACAGAAGCTAAACTGCCTTTCATATACATATAGCGCAATCTCTTGCAACACGTATAAACTTAATTAATTTTTGACAACGTGAATTTAAAATATTATATATAAATTCGGTCCCCGCGTTAAACGTCAAATGGCATGAGTTCTGTACAAATACTATTATAATGTATTATACAATAAATATTAAGTAATTTCCTGTTGTCTTGTCCATTTGATTTTGTACAAAATTATCCCAGGTCGTTAATTGCATTATTTTTGTCACTGTGACATTTGCTTCATAATGTACACCCGGCATTTAAAAACTATCATCCAGAGCTGTAAAACGTAGAAAAAATAGCTGTCGCTATAGAAGCCCCTTGTCACTGAATCGTCAATTGTAAATGTCAGATTTGATGATGCTATTATCCTTTTAAAGTTTATCATTTATAATATCGTATACTTTGATTTCATTTCAAATTACGTTTACATTAATGAAAATAACATTGTTTTTATATAATAATTTGTTTGTGAATCTAAAGAATATAGTCATGGCACAAACGGAAGACACAGAACTCAGAGATTTAGTTATTGAAGCCCTAGAAAAAAACGGTTCGCTTGCAAAAATTCGAGCTTTATTGAGAGCTAATATTTTTTTAGCATTTGAAGATGAAACAGGAAACAATAAAGAGAATGTAAGTCTAGACAACATTTTGAAAGTGCCGGAAGGCATTCTTTCTTTATCTATTATTCATGAATTTTTGGAATTTTGTAACCTAAACAATACTTTGTTTGTATACAAGTCTGAGACTAGACAAGGTAAAGAATATAATTACGGTGGACAGAAAACGTTACTAGACAAATTGAATTTGAGCAAACAAGATAGTGTTAATGAGCCAATACTGGTGATGTTACTAAAGATTTTGTTGACACAACAACAAAAAATAAACTTTGACAGCAAAGATAACTGTAATAAGAAAAAGGAAAACAAAAACAGTGCATATAGGGATAATCGAAACTGTACTTATATTGTTAACGAGGACTCCTCTACTGCCACTAGTAATTCACAGTCAGACAATTCGTTGGATGAAAAAAATAAATTGCATTTAAGGTTACAAATGGATAATTCTGATACAGATACCTCAAGTGACTCAGCAAGAGACAAGACAAGTGCTGAATATATTTTAAATCAACATGTCATCGAATCCAATCAATATGGAGATGAATCTTTAGAAAAAAATATAAATAATTCAAATTCTAATAATGTAGTAGTACCATCCCCTTATTATTTGAATGATTTAAAAACTAACAACAACAGCAGTAGTGACTCAACATCATATGTAGAGTTAAAGCCATATAATTCAGTTGATGAAAAAATGTTGAATACTATGGGTGTACCCACATTAGACAATAATACTTTAGAAAATTCTACACAATTTGCACAGGATAAATTAATGGAACAGACTGATATTAAAACAAATGAAAGTAGTCAAAAAGTTGATACTGTACCTTCACTTTCTTTAAACAGTGCATCATCTACATCACTGAAATATGACAATAGTAAACAGTCACAAAGTGATAAAAAACTTGAAGACCTTGGAAAGTCTGATGTTGAAACTATAGATTATAGTAATGATTTCTCTTCTACAGCAAATTCAAAACAAGAATATGAAAAAGCAATGCATTCATCTAATTCTGTTGAGGAAGATGTCTCAAAAATAAATAAAAATCTATCTACTGATAGCCAACTTCAAAACTCTCAGGAATCTCATAGTTCTATTTCCATATCTGATGTTGCAGATTTAATTAGTGAAAAAAGTTCCTCATTTGGGTGTGATAAAGATACTTCATGTAACAAGAAACTTAAACCATCAAATGACATAAATATAAGAAATAGCCCTAACAATGATGATGAATCTGGTGATTTTTCAGAATCACCTGTTCCATCTCTCTCTAATTTAAGTCTTGATGTTCATACCGATTGAGTATTAACATGGAAAATTAGGAATTGATTGTAGATATAGCAATACATATTTTGCATACAAATACCATGCTTAATTTTCAATGTCAATTTAATATTATAATCTACTTATAAGTATTAAAATATTATAAATTCCTGCCGCTCAGTAAAAAATAATATTTAATAATAATAGAAAAATAATAATGTGCTCATAACTATGTAATAAATATAAAGTAAACAATTAATATTAATTATAATGATGTGATAAAATCTGCTGACTAAGATATGACCTATATGTACGTTACTTGTAAATATCTAGCAGACATCTGCTGTAATTGTTCAATAAGAGTTTCATAATATATATGTTTTCAAACTCTTGTGGTTGTAAATCAAAAGTTAATATTTATCATTCATGATTACAAATATTTTTTAATTTTTGAAATGTTGACACCATTTTATGTTGTCATGTTGCATATGATGGAACAATTGCTTGTGTTACCTGCACATTTGCACACATCTATGTTAAAGCCATATAAAAATATGCTGAAATATATGAATCTAAAAAAATTTGGTTTAAGACAGAGTATAAAATACCTAAATAAGTCATGGATATAATCCCCATGGAATTAATTTCCTTAGAATTTTTTATTCTTAATAAACAGTAATACAATATACTTAATGTATATTGTATTATTGTCTTCACTTTGTAACTGTTGCCATGTGTCCAATCCTTGACTTTAATTTGCAACTTCAATTTGCATTTTGTTTTTTAATATTATGACATTACTCGTCATAATTTAATTTTTAATATATTGTAAACTTTTGTTCTATATTCTATCTCTATGTAATTACTGTTTATATTATAAACAAATACATAAAATAAACATACAAAACAGGTTCTCTACAATATAAATCTGACAGAATCAGTATGTTTATGACAATATTTGTTAAATAAATTTAACTAGAATGGCTAAAAGGTTAACATGAACTTGGAACTATGTATAATTGTATGCAATTTTGTATATGATAAAAAGATACCTGTATTTTAATGTATAATTTAGATTAGTAGAACTGAAAGTCAATCCCAATTATTATAGATTTTTTTTATTTTTGTGTTTTTCAGTTCATCTCTACATAACCTATAGATTTTTATTGAATTGCACCAGTGCTTCAATGTTTAATATCTCATAATCTCACATATTTTTGAGGTTTGTAGACAAGTAACACTCATTTTCATAAATTAGTTTATAAAATGAAGTAATGAATAATAATATTTATTTTTAATTTGTTTTTAAATTTTTGTGAAACTAAATGCAATAGTTTTACTTATTAGAACAATAACTGAATTTAAATTTTTTGTAGAGTAGCAATTTTCCTTGTTGCAATTTTGTCAGCAAAGTTATGAGGAATATTAAAATAGGTACTTAATATTGTATCCTATTTAGAAAATAAAATAAAATAAATACTTGTTAGATTTTTTAGATATTTAAATTTTTGATTTACATCACTTAATAGTCTGCTGGTTTATTATTATGCCTATTTTCAGTATTGCTTGATTTTTTTCATATAATACAATGTAAATTTGAACAATGTCACACCTTTACAGGGTAGAAAGAACAAACGGTACAAAGAAAGGAAGAATATTGCTTTAATATTAAATATATTTTATTTTGCTAGAAGGCAACATTCTTTTGATTTTAAAACTAAAAATTATCACAGAAAAAACATATAATATATATACATATATTATATGTTTTTATATTATAAATTATAAATCATATTATAAATTATATAATATAATAATAATATCTCTCAATATTATGTTTGTGTCAATTTTATGAAACATAAATAATAGCAATAAAATGATGTTCCGTTATTTTATTATAGATTGGTTACTGTGGTTTGGTATGAAAAAAAAACTGTTTATATTTTGCCTTTTTAGTTAGTTCAATTTCCAGCTGATGTAAAGAAATTTATGAATGCATTTATCCTTAATGTTTCTTTAAAGTAAAATTAATTTATTCTGTATTGTACATTCGTTTTATGCCCTGTTCGTTTTTCGACCCGTAAGAAATGAGTAAAAAAAATAAAACATGTTCTATTTTTTTAAATGGTATTTATAACTATGTATTTTCTTCTTGATGTGTTCTTGTGTGTCATTAAATTTCATGTATTCATCATTAGGTATTTCTAAATATATGGCTATAAAATTGAATATTATGTTCACTACTGCAATTTTTTTTTTGCGCTGTATTATAATATTCCAATAATTTAAACTTATACGTATTTTCAGTTTTGAAATTACTGAATTAAAAAACATTGTTTTCTGTTTAATATGCATCTGTACTGTTTTTTTCTTTAAATGGTTGTGCCTTATTTATTATGGTAACGCAAAATTGTTACGGGATGGTTCCTTTTAATAATTCAATAATAAATCTAGTCCTAAATACAACTAGTTCCGTCCAAATTGCTCCAATATCATGTCTAGTGCTGATGTCGGTCTGGTGTAATGCAACTGTGCATATTTATAAACTCAATAAAAACTGTGCTCTATCTTTGTTTTTTATTTCTTAAAATCTTTGAACGATTTTGTGGAGGTTTAAGAAAAATAAAAAAAAAATATGTATGTGGAACTTCCCAATCGGTCGATATTTGAAATTTATATTTTAACTAAATACGTGGAAATATTTTAGTGATTTGTAATTTTGTTATTTATACATATTTTTGTATATTTTTTTATGAATATCATCAATTTTACTCTTCTACAATCAAAATGATATTATTATTTCAGTTATAGTTATAATACCACTTTAATAGGATCATATACATATTAAAATCAGTTACCTCTATTTTTAACAACAAACTAAATGTACTTTTAGGATAGTAACATATATATAAAAACATGTTACTAATAAATATGAGTAGAAAGTTCGTCACTAACTAATGTAGAGAAGGAAGGGGGTTTTAGTAATGCGGACTATCAATCCCATTGCTAGCAATATGCTCTGTCAGATCAATCTTCACATGGTCTCCCATAGAAACCATCGAGCTGAATTGCAGGTGTATTTATTCATCACGATGGGCTAACTGCTTTAAATCTAAAACTTACCTTTTTTTACAACACAGGGGGCAGAGCTTGCGGCTCGCCTGATGGTAAGTGACTACCATGGATGGCCTTAAAAAACGCACGGTGGTCCACTCGTCCAGATGGTTGGGATGAAACTTTATGGCGGGTTGTACGGTGGTGAAAATCAACAGCAGGTATCAATTCGAACAATTCCTCAGAGCACTCCCCATGATAAATTCAGTAGAAGATGCACAGAGACGCAACATTTCTGCGCAGTTTTAGTGAGTCGAGTCGGACAGTAAGGCGCTGACTATCAATAATTCGAGCCACCCGACTTTGAATGCGGTCTAACGGAAGGAGTTGGTACTGTAGCACTCCTGCCCGGTGAGAACCTTTTCATTATCACCTATCATTCTTCACTGGTGCCTCACTAATGTATACCGTTAGCGCAGGCAGGGTTACCATTCTATAATAATCCATTAAGAAAGACTAATTAATGTATTAGACTACATTACTATATACATGGTATTTATACAATTGTCTTTAATGTTTTTAATAATTTGTACTCGAAAATTTGAATATAGATATAGTTTTAAAAAATAAAGTTTAGGCTAATGGCTTATTAGTTTCCTCAGTTAGCAGGGTATTTTTGTAGACCACAATTATATTACATTTCAATTAGCAAGAATTACATAAAACTAAACATAGTTATTAAATGTATAAAATGCAGTAGTGAGGTACTTTCTCATAGTAGAGCACTATGTATCTGCCATATAGGAATTATTTATATTTTAGACATATTAATCATGGTCAAATATTTTTTCTCCTCCTTTCCTGTGGGTGTCGTAAGAGCCGACTAAGGGAAGGGAGGGAGAGAGATGGGCAGCAGCGTCTCTTTTAAAACATCTTTAAAACCTAACTGCGATTGCACAGGGGCGAAAGGGATTGTTAGTAATTAGGTTAAATAGCCCCATTACTAGCAATATACCCTGTCAGGTCGACCTCCACGTGGTAAAAATTTGACGTTCATAAGCGGCTAAAATGTCCTACATGAATAAATGATTTTTGAATTTTGAATTTTGAATTTTGTTCCCCCTGAAAACCATCGTGACTAATTCTAGTTGAATTCGTCAGGATGGGCTAACTGACATGCTTTCATCCTCATCAATCATCTATCACTGGTGCCTCGCCGGTATATACCGATAGCGCAGGCGGGGTTACCATACCATTATCACCCATTAAAAAAAAACTGCGAGGGAGGGGGTATATATAACTATTGTGGCAATTCCTGATAGCCAAGGAAACGTAATAGATATTTTTTGGGTATATTTACCTAGTTATAACATTAGTAAGGATTTGAGTATACATAGGCATTCTGCAGTTGTTTAATAAAAAAAGAAAACACTTTTATAATCAATGTTTATTTTACATTTCAGTAAAGCATAGATTGTAGATATCACGTTTCAGTTATGCACACAAGTCAATCCATACAATACACTGTAACGCAGTCCTTACGCATTTCTATACAAAAGTAACGCTATACTGTATATGGCATAGTAGCGGTTAGTGTAATCGCATAGAAAAAAATTATATTAAACATTTTATTTACACCTAAAAATATTTATTAGGTACATGAGTTTTTAATATGAAAATGGTATAAAAATTACACTTTCATATGTTAATTTACATGTATTAATACAAATGCGGTCCGTATCCTAACTTTGAAAAAATATAACAATAGTAAAAGCCGTCATGCTTCATATAAACAGTAAAGTCCTACATGTTTGTGTAGTACTTCATAAACATGGAAAAAATATCGCTCTAGGCACTGTCGTTGATTTACTCACGAATACGTGTAGATATTTTAACTTGACGTTAAAAAATTACAATTTGCAACAAAAAGGAAACAGGAAGGACTATACACTCTCACTTATATTTGATTGTTTTACAAATATTGCAGAGCAAAATCCTTTCGATTTGTATAGATTTAATATTTTTTTAATTTGTTCAACAATAATGAAAAGAAAACAAAATGTTAACTAAAAATAAACGCTTAAAGTAAATAAATATAAATAATGTACATATGGCAAATATTTGGCTTAAAGTTCATACGCAAATAATGCATACATAGATATTGTAACTTAATAGCTAGTGTATCGAACATTTTATATTAGATCATACACTTGATGACATAAAGCACTTATGTTTACTAACAATAACATAGTATATAAAAATGTACTGCAATTAAAGGAATTAAATACAATTAAATTATAGCATTATCTCGTGCTCGACTCGAAATAAAAAGGGACATTATCATTTTACTTCAGTAAATACCAATTTGGTTATTTGTATATCTAATATATATCACTAAATCTGTGTGAGATTCTCGTAATGTATAGTTTCACATATCATGAATGCAAAATATTTTTTAACAAATACCTATCCACTTTATACAGAAAGAAAAAAATTCGCCCACTAATATAACAAAATAATATACCAAAATAAATGTATTATTTGTATATGCCTAAATTATTATTGCAGTACATTTTTAAACATTATAGGTATACCAAGTGTAACGGAACAGGCATAATCAGGTCCAGTCCATCTAGTGATAGTATTTATGAAATTGAATATCTTTCCCAAAGAAACTTAGTTCAAAATATGAATGTAAATTCAGTTTTGAAAAAAAAATCACTAAAACATTATACTAAATGCATAACTGTACGATTTGTAAAAAAAAAAAGTATTTTCATATTTAAAATATAATTCCCGGGAAAAGTTTTTCAGTTTCATGAATACTATCGCTAGTTCTTAACATGTTCGTTCCGTTATACGCTGTATAAGTAAACAACGAAAACAAGATGCTTACAGTTTAAAACCAATTGAAGAATGTGTTTTGTATTTAGTTACACTGCTATTACAATAGTCTCACTCTTAGGAAGTTTATATTTAGAGCTCGTTGCCCATAGAGCTATCGTGTGTGAGATTTGAGTCCATACTGGCATTGTCGGAGTCTTGGCTTTGGTTCCCGCTGTAATTCGCTGCCTCTTGTAGCCGCATTAACATGTTTAACTGTAAGAGGATAATAAATTACTTAAAAAAAATTAATATAGGTACCTAATTATTAATACATATTATAAAAGACATTCCAAGTTCTTTTTCATTTTTTCGTAAAAATGGATGTTTCGAATACAGTTACCATTTACGATGACAGGGTTTAACTAGAGAAATATCTACTAAACTCTGGGTAGGTCACGAGGATATTTTTTTATAAAACTTGCATCGAAATTTATGCAAATATTTGTGTATTAATTATAAGTACAACAATCTTTCTTTTTGAGGTAGACAGACAAGATATTTGGTTAGAAATATTGTCACGTATTTACTTACCAGTGGATCTTGGTTGTTATTAGTGTTAGAGTCTTGATTTGAATCTTCAATGTCAATATCTTCCACTGTTATTGCTCTTAGTGTCTGTAAGAAAAAAAAAACTAATATAAAATATCTATTTCATCATCTTCCTACCCTTATTTTATTATTTGGGATGGATGTAATATGTTTTTATCCATATTACAAAAAGGTTTGGCTTTTAGTATTAAGACCGGTCGCCTGCCTGAGGTCAATCCTCTTTGATTTATACATTTGTTTGTGGTTTTCTCCACCTACTAACGTTATTAAAATATTACTATAAAATATCTACTTAATATTTGAAATAGTAAACTTAGTAGTAGTAGAGTAAGAAGCACTTTTGTCGAGGAAGAGATTTTCCATTCTCCGTATTCTTGTGCATAAATATATAGGGGGAGGGTATTTGCACCAATTCTAAACTGATATTGATATTTTTTTTTTTTTATAATCGATAGATTTTATTCTCGTGTTTGTTATTTTATCATGATTAGTCATTGGTTATTTTTAGTAGATATTAATTTCACAATTGATATGGTTTTTCGCATAATAATATCTGCCTATGAATAATTTAATAAAACTTAAGTAACGTTTTAATGAACAATCTTTGAGTAGTTTTATTAGCGTTTTATCTAACTTGGAATAGAAACTAATCTAGCTGCCTATCTCATAAAATTATAAGTAAGAATAGAGTGGGGGTGAGAATTGTTAGTAATGGGATGTAATTGGCTCCGTTGCCTGCCAGGCCAGGGGTTGTTGTTTTAATGGTGTTGTTATTCCTGTAGGTCATCGGTTCAAATCCGACTCGAAGGACCATGAAATAAGCAGGATTAACTTTCAATGGCGGAGTAAACAAAAAGATGTCAATTGAAGTCACCAGTTTATTAGAAGAGAAAAAGTTGCCATATATATAGATATTGTGGTTAATTCTTGGGCAATTTGTCATGATGAGCCAAATGACCTGACTTCGTCTCTCACCAGTATTCCACCGCTGCTCGCGTATTCCAACAACGCAGGCGTGGTTACCTCCCACATTTATCCTTAAAACGTAGATACAAATAATACTTACATGTGAATGATTGGGCTCTCTCCAAGGGTAAGTGGACTTGACGTGGTGCAGCGGATCGGCGGCAGCATGTCGCCGGCGGCCGTACAGTGCGACGCCTTCACGCACCGCCTCCGATGCGTACGGCACTATGCTGTAGTTCCACACGTCCGCGAACCACGCCTGATGGGAGCAAAAATGTTAAACTTAATCTAAGATCATACACTTCATACATATCATCCTGTGGGCAGGAGCGCCACAGTACCAACTCCTTCCGTTAGACCGCATTCAAAGTCGGGCAGCTCGAATTGTTGACGATCGGCGTCCTACTGTCCGGCTCGACCCACTGAAACTGCGAACCGATACGACAACATAACCTTCAAGAAAAGAGCATATTCCTTTTTAAAAGGCCGGCAGCACACCTGCAATGCCGTAGGTGTTGTGGGTGACCATGGGCGGCGGTAGTCACTTACCATCAGGTGAGCTGCATGCTCGTTTGCCCCGTGTTGTAAAAAAAAAAATACACACGTCTAGATGGAGTATTGAGTGTGAGAAACAACGTTCAGACAATGAATGGGGGTAAGGGGAGTTTATTGTTATAAATAGGGCCTACCAGCACCATCCTTCTTATGGGAGAGGCTATGTGCAACAGTGGACAGTTAACGGCTGATACAAATAGCACCATTGCCTGTTGTTTGTTGAAGTCTCGGTTTTCCATACTAAGCATTCAGATCAAATGATCTGTCTCTTGTCAAAGTGTCTTCAATGTCTTCAATTATAAGATCAATATAAATTCTAACACCTATCATTTTTCAAAGTTAATGTGAATGGAAATTGAGTCAGCATCCTCCATCTTAGGCTACGTTACCTTAACACTCATATGAGATAAATACGCTCGAATTTCATAATAGAAAACTTTTAATTCTCAGAAATGGCAACGATGGTACTCAGACATGGATCACATGCTTACAGGTGACGGTTATCACTTTCCATCAGATGGACCATCAGCTTGTTTGCCCTTACCAGTTGTTTAAAAAATATGCCATCAATTAAGGAAGTACATTCGTTATTTCTTATGAAAACTTACTTGACTAGCTTCCAGATCCATAGGACAAGCGAGGAAGAGCCTCGGACCGACTGTGACGTCACTCGACGAGTGCGCCTCCAGGAACGCGTTGAGTGTGGACCAGACGCCAGGCAGCCACTCCAACACCGCGGCTAATGCGGCTTCACGGCGGCCCAGCCGCAATTCCAAAGAGAAAAGTTTTCGACGGAGATACCTGGTAAAAAATATTTATTTATTTAACTCTTTACTACGCTAGAAAGATAAAAATATACAACGACAATTAAACAATTCAAGTGAAATATAGTATCATAAAGTACAGATTAAAATATATACATAAAGGTACAAAAGGCGGTCTTATCACTAGAGCAATCTCTTACAGACAACCTTTAATTAATTTAAATAATTGATTTATATAGTTTTTATTTTGTGGTTAATTCTTGGACAATTTGTCATGATGAGCCAAACAACCTGACTTAGTCTCTCACTAGTACTCCACCGCTGCTCGCGTATTCCAACAACGCAGGCGGGGTTACCTCCCATATCTATCATTTAAAACGTAGATACAAATAATAAAAATATAGTTTTTATTTTTATTCCACTAGATACTTTATACTTAATATTTACAGCTAATGTTGTCATACAGTCTGCATTGCTCTACATACTGCGTAGTAACATATAAGAAAAATCGGTAGTTAAAAGGTTTTCAAATGATTACTACGTACAAGTAATCACAATGTGTAATGACTCCCATTAAATGTAGTGACAGCCTCAAATGTATTATAGGGAGTCTGGTAAATGGGGGTAGATCAGGACCATTCCTTACGTAAAATGTTTGGGGCCTATATTAGGTAGTGGACAATTAACGACTATAATAATGATGGTGAAAATAAGTATATGGTTTTACAGTGGAACATACCTAGCTAGGAAACCCTTGACTGGTTCCATGTGATTTGCTGTTAATAGCCACCTGAAGTTGTGATGTAATTGGAGATTTGTTGTATTACACGTCGCTTGTGACATTGTACCTAAAAATACAATTTGTAATCAGATTATTTGTTATTATTATATTATTCACAATTACTCATTGCTTCATTTTTTTATGCAACTGAGAATGGCAAACAAGCTGACGGCGCACCTAATGAAAAGTGGTAACCGTCGCCTGTAGACATGAGCAGTACCATGGGCATTTCAATGAGGTTCTAGTTTCAGTAGAATCAATTTACAAAATAAATTAAATATAAATTTTTCATAACACAGATTACAAGATAGTTTGTTCAACCAATAGTCAGGATTAAATTTATTAAATATATATGTATTTTATTGAGATCGAACTTGCGACAAACAAAAGTAGTCGACATAACATTGTACAAACTTTTACTTAATACATATTTATTTTTAAAAAAACTTAGAATAGCAACAAACATGAATACACTACACGTGGATGTCTCAGTATACTATCTAATCCGTAATATCCTCGCATTGCTATTTTATACAATTAATATTATAGGTAAATTTGAAAATTTATAAAGACGTTTGTATATTTATTACTCAATAAATGGCCATTTAATACCCTTAAATGGCTGAATAGATTTGAATGGAATTTGGTATTGGTATTTGATATATCATGTATCAGTTACGGGAAACAGTAATGGTAAAAAATTCAATACTCACCAATAATGACAGGCATATTTCTATTGTCAGGCGGCAAGAGCCCCGCGAACGCGTCACCAAGCGCCGAAGCATGCTGCAGATTGTCCAACACAACCACTGAAGGCAGAGCGGCCTCTTCGCCGGCTGTGATTGCAGCGCTACACTGTTCCGCTATGTTCGCGAGGTACGCGCGCAGTTCATTGCACGATTTACGATCAACGCTGGAAATTAAATGGCCGATTTTAAATCGATCCATAGTTAATCGGAATGTTATAATTTGGGCGGATTTTGAGCCGTTCCACAATAATTGTAGACTGTTATTATTATTTTTTATAACGTTTTGATCGGATCGGATTTAATTACTAAATGTTTTAAGAATGCAATATCTAGTAAATTATATTCACGTCTTCATTCAATTCGATATTTGATTATTATGCTTAAAATTTACATGCTCTAGGTACTATAATTTCGTAATACCATTAGAGTTTAAGATTACCAGATTTAATCTTTATTGATTCACTATTTGAGAACCTTTCAAGTAAGAGAATATTATTTACAAAGACAGCTTTGTAGGTAATATAAAAAGAAATAATTTAAAAAAAGAATGTTTTCATACAAATACAGTATATTGTAAGGTTGAAAAATAAAAACTTTTTAATTTAATTTATTCGTAATGAAACGAATCATTGCGGTCTGTCTATCTGGTTCCTTCAAATATAAAAACTTTATTGTTATCTTTACTAAATACTTTGATTTATATCTAAGTATAGACATAAAATATTTTCGTTTTTAAATAATTTAAAATTTCAAAAAAACTTTATCAACTTTTCATTAAGTTCTAGAGAATTCCAAGGCTCTGATCTCACTGCCTACCTCATTACAAATTTGACATAAAGATTATTGAAGATATATAGATAGTGAATTAAATAGACTAACTCGTTTATTCATAAAAATGTCAAACCTCTCATATACCTATTTTAATGATAGAAATGTTTTGTCCTTTTCTTTTGCATTAATTTATCAATTTGAAAAGCAGTAAAAAAACAATCTAATAGTTAAAATAAGTTTGTAGGACGTTTTAGTTATTATGAATAAGGGGGTAATATTATAAAAACATACTTGAAAGTAGCGACAGCCTCAGCAGGGTTTCCGCGGCGTTGAGTTTTCTGTACGTAGAACTCGGCGAGTTTGGCTGCCAAGTATGACTTGCCAGTACCGCTTGGGCCGCATAATATCACTCGTCGATGTTCCGATAGTAGTGAAACGTACCTGCGAATTAAAGGATTATTTATTTATTTTTCAATAACATTTAGTAAATAGTGTCCTAATTCGCTCACATAATGTCAATGCTACTTAAATAATAATCTAAATTAAACTAACGTCTGGTACGTACAATGACACATGATAAATAGAAATTGGGCGATAAATAGAGCAATTGTTAGGCAGTAATTTAGAGTTAGAGTAAGTAATTTAAAGGTTAAACAATAAAAATTTATAAACTTGAATTACTCAATCACATACAACTAACGCATTATTTTCTCAATATCTCAATAGTTAGCTCGTTATATTGCAAAGTATTTTGAAAGGCCGTTAATGTTAAGTATAAAAAATTTTTAATTATTTTTATTTTTAAAGCTTTTGTAACTGTTTGTCGGATAATAAATACATTATTATTTAATTTAGTCTCATTGTCTATTATAACATATGATTACTTACCTATATACAATGTTTTTTGGTATAAGACTATCGAAAGCCAAGCTTCCAACTCCTTGCAGGCAGATATACAGCGTGTTCACTGTCCCCACTATGTAACCACACGGCAGCAGTTCCGGGAAACCGATCTCTGGACCTCGCGTCGCTTCACCCAAGTGATACGACGTTATAGAATCTGTGTTTAGTCCTAAATTCGTCCCCGGGTCTATTCTAGACAAATAATCTTTAAATGTTTTCCTAACTATATAATCTAAGTTTTGCCAAGTAGTCTTGCCAGATATATAAGTAAACGCAATCGTGAATTCATTACAATTTATTGTCGAGTCACTGTTATAAACATTCTTATACGAATTACTGTGCGTAGACTTATTGCTTTTAAGGCTATTCGTGTTTGACTTATTTATTTGCGGGAAGTCTTGTCCCTCCACTTCAGGGCTATGATTTTGGGACATTCTCGGTGAATCGAAGCTCGGCTGCTTCTCAAAGTGGTTATTGTATGCGCTGGCCGATTGTTTCGCATAAAATCTACACTCTGATTCTGTCAGCGTGTCCTGTACTTCCTCGAAATATCTTTGGAATGTCTCCGGTTGTCCTAAATATACCGCTATTGCTATTTTCTTTCCGTCAGCTGTGTCTCCTTGACTGTCTGCAACACCTAAAAGCAAATATTAAAGAAATTGTGGTAAATGGTATTAGTGACAACTTTACTCAATATTTTTCTTCATTAATGTTTTGTATAATTCTTTATTTTGTCATTGTTAGTTTACCCAAATAAGTGAAAAAAGAAAAGAATAAATTTTCATTTTGTTATTGTCCAAACAGATATTGACTATAGAGTACTTATAAATTGATGTGATCTATACATAGAATCGATTGCTTTTATTATTAGGATCTTTATCTCAACTCAATGAGACTCCCTCTAAAATAGTTTTAATATGTAGATAGATAAAATATAACCTACTATGGTCTGACTCATTAGTACCTATAGTTTATTGTTTGATGGTTGAGGAATAAGTCAGCGTTACATATTATCAGGTCTAAACAAAATATTTTTTTTAAGAAACCAGCGAATATGCATTTGAAACATCATTTCTAAATCACTTATAAAATAATTACAATTTACTTACAATTATAGTAAAATATATCAAAGAATAAGAAATTTAAGGTTACTGTTGACTAATATTTCTGACAATCCAATTTGTAATTACAGTCGTATGTATATTATATTACAAAGTGCATGTTAGTTACGAAACTAGATAAAACAAGAGATCTGACGATACATTATCTTGAGAAACAGATAAAAATTATATAACCGTGATTTGTTATTGATGACTGTAATTGTTAAATGATCCTTTAGCTACGTTTTTATCGCTTAGCTGTTTTATTTATCTTAACTTTTTTATGTACCTTATCTTGAGAAATAAAGATAAACGTACCGATATCTGAATAGCTTTCCCCTATCGCCAACTCTCGACTTTTAGGCGGCGGTAACACCGTATTAATATCGTAGTCTCCACTCAATCTCTCTGTAGTATTCAATCCATTAGTGAACATATCACTCGTGCCGTTTAGAGCTAGTAGCTCGCCTTTTTCATTGAGGTCGCAGGCTGCTTTATTCCCGTATATAGGTTCGACCATTGTAGAGTTTGGGGATGCTTTCTTGGAGAAATCCATGGTGGGCGTGGAGGTTATACAGTTAAAGTCTAGGTCTAAAGGCTGGGAATGAATGTCTATGGCAGCCTGTAAAAAATAATGTGATACCAATAATTATATGAATAAAATGAGGTATACCATCAGTGTCATAGTATATTTTATAACGTTCATGATCCGGTTTATGTCAAAAAGATTCGTCGTGATGGGTAATTAAATTTATTAAATCAATATCAAAACTAGCTTCTCAATAGTTTTCATGCAATTGAAAATAATTTTTGAACTTTTCATAACAAATTTGTCAATAAGTCGGTAAATCTTTTTTTAGACTTATCTTAATATAACAAAACCAATTTTATTTCCATGTTTGTAAACTCGTAAATAAATAAAATTTTACATCTTATTCTTAACGTCATAAATTATTGAGAAACAATTACCTATCATCCTGAATGTTAAAATAATATATTGAAGAAAATACCTGATGCATAGTAGCTTGGTCTGCCAAACTAAATCTTCTAGGATCCTCGACAGCAGAGCCACCGGTACCTAACGAGCTTTGAGAGCCAGCTAGGGATCTGGACGTCACTAGCCTTTGTAACCGCTCATTATTCTGTTTTAGATTTAACATTTCATTCTGTAACGAAATATTATTTAATATAATTAGCTCCTTGTAAAATTTTATACAGGTATTTACTTGTCAGAGAGATAAATAACAACTGATAAAGAATCTTTGATATCATAAGCAAAAATTTTTTTATACGACTTAGAAAAGCTGACGGTCCACCTGATGAAAAGTGGTAACCGTCGCCTATAGACACGAGCAGTACCATAGACATAACAGTACACACACATACTGTTTCGCCCATGATACCCCCCATGCGTTGCCATTCCTGAGGACTCAGGTGTTATTTCCCTGTACCCTGTAAATTCACGCCATATCCCACCCTTCAGATCGAAACACAACCATGCAAACACAACTGCTTCACGGTAGAAACACGAATGGAACAGAGGTACCCAAGCATTCGACTTTAAGTATTGAAAGTACTACCATGGTGTCTATAAAGTAAATAAATTTTATGTACAAAATTATTTAGGTCTATGGCATATATTTTCTGATGAAATTTCCTGAGAGACTAAGGGTTCTTCAAAAAGAGGTAAAGAGGTTTCTTCAGGGTCTATAATGCCCTTAACATTGGAACCGCTTACCATTATACGTTCGTACGCTTGCCACCTCAGTTGTATAAAAAAATGTTAAAGATATATAGGTACCTATTTACATGATATCAAATAGGTACGCAGATAACACAAATATCCATAAAGGGAGTGACTGCACACCTCAATGATAAGATGGCCATTTATAAGTCACTCTTACAACTATCTATAAAGTGGCGAAGCTTTTAACGAGTTCCGTCGGCATTACTTTTATAACTCGTTTACAAGAGCTGTTAAAGGGGTTTAAGAAAAGTGATCTTAATTAACTTCATTCATAGTTAAGAGGTAGATGTAAATATCATTAACGATTAGCCTTTACTTTATAAAATATTAGAACCCGTTTTATACATAAACAGCTAATATGTACATGTAGTTTCATTATTTCTTTATATAGTTACGAAGATGCTTTTATACATCGATCGCTTTTCTTTATTCGGGAAGTTTCACATCATTTTTCACTTTAATAACGTGCGAGTTTTAACAAATCTAAAAATTTTAAAACACGATAATTGAATATTTAAGAATGCCATTTAAATTTCGGAATCACTTATTGTTACGAGAATGTTGTGAAAATTGCAGTATGTTAAATTAACTTCAAGTATTATCCTATAATGAGATACTGGTTATTATTGCCATCACGTAAAATAAAATAATGCTTACTAGTTATTGTGATATTTTTGGTATTATGTATATTAGCCAATCAGCGTAAACAACTTACCCTCATTTTAATTACGGTGTCTTTGAGACTTTCTAGTTGATGCGCCGAGCTAAGCGCCTCTAACCGGATGTCGGTCAACACCAAGTCTTTCTCCCGCAACTGCCGCTTGAGCTCATCCACTAACCCCGACTCGTCAGGTTTTTCTGTCATAATTATATAAATAAATAAATAATATTTATTTCATTACATGAACAAGACAACTCGAGTTTCGTATGCAATTAGTGATATTGATAATGTCAATGCTACGGTTTCTCTAAATTTGAAATTATAATTATCTACGTAAGTCCATTACTTTATACTAATTACCCATTAGTAAATCATTAAAAACGTAGTACTTTTGATAAGTATCTACTTAAAAGTGGATGATTAAGACGTAAAAAAGAATTTTATATGTAAAGATGGCGGTAGACCGGTCCTCTGTACTATATTGATTTCCTACGTAAATACTCGAAGAAATCTAATTAAAGTCGAGTGTTATATACTCATCACAATGGCAAGTGTTAACAAAATCGATTACAGCCGTAAATATGTACTATATTATCTTATAGAAAATTGTGTCTATGTTTATACCTGAATTATTTAGGTTTTTGTCTAAATCGACAATAAAAAAAATCAAGATAATTCCTACTCCTTGTTTTAGCTATAAAACCTATATTATTATGTATTCAATTACAAATCAATATGATAAATTTATATTAAAGTATATAATAACAATTTCCTGTGTCAAGTGGGCATACTTCCAATAAATATCCACATAAGAACTTTAGTGATACAGTAGAAGTATGTGAATGAAAACAAGAATTGGTATATTCATCCAAACCACTGATCCAAAACCAAATCCAAACATAATTATGTGAATGACATAGCGATGCAAATGGGTCATGAACTCATGACGGATCGGTATGGGAATTTGTACATAAAGCAAAATATAGATCTAGTTATATAGACGTATGTATTTTTACAAATTGAAAACTTTGTTGGTCATTGTTAATTGAATTACTTGAATATGTTCACTTTTGCCATTGTTATAAATTGAGTATAACAAAAAATTTTGTAACGTTTATGTCTACAGGCAATGAACGATATTTTATTTTTACATTACATATACATCTATGAACCAAATAAGTTTCTTTAATGAACATGGATTTATTAATACAAATATTTTTGCACCTTTGGTAACAATCGACAACGCGGTTTATATGAAAGATGTTTTATTTTATTTTTAGCCCTTTAATTTTTCAGAGACCTTTATAAAAAATTTTAGAGATACTATTACCAGGTTTCAAATTGTTACCTCCTTTTTCTAACAGTTCGTTGCGTGTATCTATCAATCACTATAATGCTTTATCAATATCAACGTCCTAAGTTCTCTATATAACCTTGTTACAACTAGTTATATAACTTTTCAAGCCTCTACTGATGGGACTACGCGATTATAGAACACCACATTGGAATAACTTTTTATAGAGCACAGATTCTAAGTACTAGTGGACAACATCCGGTCGGTCAATGTTTCATTAAAAAACCATTACGTATGATAGATGTGCTTAACAAAACTTTAATTATGACGCTTGGAAATTAATTGGTTATTGCTTATAATAAATAGAAAATTTATTAAGAATAGAATTAGTAAATGATAAGCATCATGGTTATATTTTTTTGGGATTAAAAGTAGAAGCAGATGGACCTGACATCTCTTAGTACACTTTATGCTCTTACCAATGAAGTTTCCGATTTATTTTTAATTACTTTAATATTATTTTTTAATAACTTTTCAGTGTTTCCATTAATAAAAAAGTTAATTATTACATGTAGGTGATGTAGTGTGTAGAAAATATCATAGCTGTTTAAATTACGACCATCGAAGTACTTTTATATTTTTTTGTTGATTAAATATTTTCATGTTCTTCTTTACAATGATCTTTATGGTCTTCTTGTTAATGTATGGATTATTGTAATCTTTATTGTTATCTCAATAAGAACACTGGTATAGTGACATATAAATCACAATGATGAATCGCTTGAGATTGTTGTTAAGAAAGATCAAAAAATAAATGACGAATCGTCTTCGATAAACCCTGATATGTCTGGCAAGTTAAGTTTACAATCAAAACACAATCATATAATTAATGAACGTTTGTATTATACATTTTTTACTCTACCAAAAATGGTACAGCGGGTACCAGATTCGTGTGTGCCATAACACGATCCGTTATGGTTCATCGAATACCTTTCACTGGGTCAACCTAATTCCTCTAAAAGTATTTGTAAACTAACTATGGCGAGCATTGTTTGCTCAAGTTATAAATCATTACGAACTCACCTTTGGTCTGTTCTTCAGTCTTACCCGCAGGGCACGTCGGCTTTTCCTTAAACGAAATTTGATTATTATTGTATGCTGCATAGGTTATCTTAATCTATATAAAAGTTATCTTAAATATCTAAGAGTTAGATAAGTACTCTAAAAATATTAAAGCAGGTACACAATACCTATGTATAATGTACCTACTTTAATTATTTACGTATCTATTTAATTCCTTAAAAAGTTGTCTTTAACAGTGATAACATTATTTCTAGGATCACTGTAGCTACTGAATTTGAAACGGTTTTTATATATGAGTTATCAGTTACAAGTAATTAAATATTTAATTGAGTAATAGAAATTAAAAAAAAATCTAAATTAATGAATGTAATTAATTAATTTAGGCATAATAACGCCTATTTGTAAATTCTGACTATTCTGGATAATGAATTGTGATTATTTAGAAAGTATTTGAACATTAAAAACATACTTTTTAATCTACTTCGGTATATACCTACGAACCAGTAAAAGATAAGGCGCAAGCAAAATATGACACCAATTCCGATAGAGATAGTAGAAAAGAAACACAGAAATGATCATAAAACATGTTTATAAAGATTGAACATGTTTTATGTCACATTTATAAGCAAGCATGCCTATTTTGAGACACATGTCTAAGAATAGAAACAGAATAATCTATGTACTACGTGTGTAGTAGTTCTTGAATTATAATTAAGTACTTATTTTCATGTGAGCAGTTGCTCTGACTATAAATAAATGAATAAATAAATGTTCTAACTCTTATTTACATATATTTACTTATAACGAGGTATATAAAACGGGTTTTAATTATATAAATATAATTAAGTTTTTATAAAGTATTTCGAACGCGTACGAATACAACACTACGGTTATAAAATTGCGCAATAAAAGTAGGTATACCAGTTTATAAAAATTAAAACATTATAAACTTATTTATTAGCGTATATGAATAAGGAGTTATTTATATACATAAGATATTCTTGTATATAGGTATGCCTTTTATTCTAAACCTTATTCGTAAAGGAGTCAAATGTATAAACAGATTTTAATAGTAATTTATCTGATATTATAGCTATTAAATACAGATTAAGGATAAAATTTGTATTAAATATTTTATCTTTTTATTTTGAACTAATTCGTAATTTAAAAGTGACACTTAAAGTTAAAATTGGTTCGTAGGGATTTTAGAAACTTATTTTTGTTTAACTAAGTAAGAATTAATCTAAAATTAAAACAAACATTTGATAGTAGCCTACCTTATTTTCAGCAAGAGCCTCGTGCGAATGTTCTAGACTGTTCTCGTTACTGCCCTCCCGTATCGTGTGAGGGTCGTCGTAGTGGTGCGAGCCGGATGAGCTGTCCTGCGACGACAGTTGCCCGAGGGACGAATGCTTTGCCGTCTTTGAAATCTTGGCGTTTCGCGAGAAAGCCTTCGTAAACGACGAACGGAGCTGTGGGAGACGTGATTAACATTACTTCCATGTTTGTATTGTGTCGTTCATGTTTTGTCAGACAACAATGCATAAGTATTGTGTTTGTTTAAGAAATTATTCATTTCTCGTGGGAAACAAAACGTTAATATTGATCTTATGTTATTAGGCTGTGATGATACACATTATAGAATAGAATTAATCGGATATATGTCCATAGAAATAAAAGTAATCGTTAGATACCTTAATATTAAGTATTTACTAATATACGCTTTAAAAGACGATAATTCAAACATATTTTGAATAAAAATTAACTTTTTTTTTAGAAAGTTTCAGGAGATTATTTTAGAGATTCATTGTTTTTACAGTGATAAATGAATGCGTACCCATCCTTTTTTCTTATGCTTCTTATCATGGGGCATCGATGACCCGCTGCTAAGGCTGTTAATGCTAGATACGCTGTCAGTGGATAGGTGTCGTGTGATAGCGCCATTGCCAGTTTGAGAGACACGTTGCGGAGATGATTGTTGCGTTTGTGTATTGGGATCCTGCTATAACAATGAATGATATTATCTTAATTTAATGAACAACGTTCTAGTCCTAATATCCATCTAAATACAGTAATAGTGCTTACTATTGTGAAACTAGTATGTTTATTACATTTAATAAACTCAGGCTAAAGTACGTATAACAATATAAATTTAAGACAACATTAGAGATCACTTTACAATTTGATATAAAGCTTCTTTCTATATTCGAAAGTACGGCTTTTGTATATTATACTTGAAAAAGAGGCTGAAATAATCAACAGTATTTTATTGCTCACAAAACCATTAAACAGGTTAGTTCGTTAGTTGACGTGAACAATTCTATTTACATAATCGCATCTCGGATAGGAACTATGTCACGATATTTTGTCAATTATCTAAATAGGGACATCCTTATTCAAATTAAGTCGTAGTAAGGTGAGAATACTATAAAATAAAACTTGAAAATATACATTCGTATAGTAAATGACTTAGTTGTTGTGGCTTGTTCTAGAATAGTTTCTTAGAATAGATTTGAAGTTTAAATGCGGTGCACGAGTTCGCTGGTAGAATGAATGAATGTGGTCAGTGACCAAATCACTTCAAGTTTTTATTAACCACTGTTTCCAAGCGATAAAAATTTACGTGCACCGCATAGCACGGAAATACTCAAAATACCGCTTATAGTATTATCCATTCAATGAAATGGAAACCATTTTGGTTAATATCTGAATGGAATTGAACAATGAAATCTAAGTCGTGGGAATTCAGTAAATATATAGATTTTATTATTAGTGCAGTGCCCACTTCTTTCCGTGGGTGTCGTAAGAGGCAACTAAGGAAACTTAATGGCCGAGGAATGGGCAGCAGTCGCTCTCATAAAACACCACCAAAGCCTATCAGATATTGCCTGCCAAGCGTGGCAATTACTGGCTAAACCTCCCTTATGGAGGAGGCCTAAGTTCAGCATCAGACAAATAATGGCTGATATGATGATGATGATTCAGATTTTAATTATTTCGATTACATTCGAGAAATGAGATAAGTAGTAGTGCATATTTATAAGATGTTAATGTCCATATTAATAACGAATATAAAACATTTAACAGGAGTCAAAATCCAGCACCTATTAAGGTAAAGAAATATAAGAGTAAAAGTGCGGGTTAAACAACTGCATTTTCCAATTAGTATTCTGATAACATACGGCCACATAGGTATAATTCATTATACCTACATAAGAAACACACATTCACTACCTTAATAGCTTCTGAGTATAATAAGCATCTAATAAGAATGCACTTGATCTCATTTATGCCTTGCATAATGATCGATGGCCTTATTGATCAATCTGATGATATAAAAATAATATATTTCGTTCCACAAAAAAGAACACCGATTTCTATCGTAACGAAACCAGTTATTTTGATTATAAACCAAACAACTAAACTGATTTTGATAATATTTCTATGGAACCAATCCAAAATTGTCTTTTCAGTTAAAAATAATATTTAAATCGGTTTATAAATGACGGAGACGAACATAAAAACAAAAATAGCGAATTTAGAACCTCGTCCTTTTTTTGAAGTCTGTTGAAAATCGTTTATATACATGTTAGATCTTTTGCCTTTCAACTTTATATTATATACAATATTACAATTGCTTGTTCGTAAGTACTAGTTAACAATAGTGTCTATCAACTTCTACTAAGATATTTGAAACTAATGTTATTCATAATGGTACCTGTCCAGTTACGTTGACACCATCGGCTCTGATGCCCATGGACTGCATATGAGCCGTTGTAAGACCAGCTTGAATAGACTGTTTCCGAAGCAACTCGATCGTTTGACGTAGCTCCGTTACTTCAGAGTCCTGGTGTAAGCATTAAATAAAATAATAACACAATATTGATAGAGATAACTTTGCATTTTTGATAAATTGTTTGTAATTAATTCAATTCCAATTTAGTTTCAAGTAAGTCTTTTTGAAAAATATTTCTAAATTTATGACGTAATTGATATAACGATAGCATAATTGATTACCAATATAACTTCTATGCTACTTCTATTACAAATAATATTATACTATACGATATAAAGACAGAAATATCTAAAATAGTCATTGTACATACGAAATATTGTATAATACGTAAAAACTTTCTTTATAAATCTAATAATTCCAAAGATGCGTAAAGTGAACGGAGAAATTGAAAACAAAGTCATAACCGGATTGCAGAATCAAAGACGTAACCTTTTAATTAATGTACTTAAACCATCGATTACATCACATTGATATTTCACGGTCTTTATGTGTGTGTTTTTCTTTTTTTGCGGTATCTTACTACAACATATTGTAATAACGATAAAATTAATTGTTACTTAATTGAACATATAAATTTCACACCCAGCTTTATACTTTTTATATGTGAGTACTCGAAGATGCAAAAATTTGTTTGGAACCAATAAAACGAGTTTATTACCTTTCTCTCAGCTGTAGCGGTGAGCTGCTGCAGCCTTTGTGTCATGTTTGATAAGCTTTGTTCGAAAGCTGACACCACGTGTGCCTGTAACAAGAAAACGATAATATGACAATCAAAAGATACACCCACGTAAGCTACATCAATGGTTTCAACAATAGACGAATAATAGTTAAAGAAGATTAATTCACTTTCAACTTAATTAATAATAACAATCTTAAAGTCAATATTTCTTTTTTTTTATACCACTGAGGTGGCAAACAAGCATACGGCCCACCTGTTGATAAGCGGTTACCGTAGCCTATGAACACCTGCAATACCAGAGGTATTACGCGCGCGTTGCCGACCCTGAACAAACCTCTTTACCCCCCTTTTGAAGAACCCCATAGTCGAATATTTGCGATATATTATTAAGAGAAAAAAGTCAACGTTAAAAAATACCTATTTCAGGTTATGCAGTTATAACTATTTAAAGAAAGTAAAACTCTTTTATATTAGCTATAATTTTAAGATACATTATTTTATGACCTTATTATATCTATCTCAGTTGTCATTATTAAAATACGTAATTTCCATTACGATCATTGTCATAGGATGCGATTTCTATACTAAAGTAATCAGAGGTGACCACAAAACGACACAGATCTCTCCTTAACTTAGATTACACGCAGGGCGATATTATTATGCATCCAGTTCGACATCCTTTGCTCGATTACATTTCAAATTGCTGGGGAGCTACATTAAACCGGTTTGTGTATCGGCTTGCTTGTTGTAGAATAATTACTTACGTCACATTTTACCGTAGTTAAGTTATCGTAAATATTAGCCATAAATATTTTAGTAACTGTAAAAGTGACTCATCGTATTAAATTGGTTTATAGTTCGGTAATAGTGGACGTGGGTGGAGCTGGACACGGGACCCTTTGTTTGCTGCGTCACAGGAAAGCACTCAGCAAAATTAAACAAGGGTAACGACCCCAATCCTAACAGAATATGAACAAAATAGTTGCATCTATTTATAAATATGTAAATTTAATGCAGGTATCTCATCATGTAGATACGAGTAGGTCGTGTTAATCAGTAGCTAGAACAAAACGTGAGTATGAATAATATGAATATTTCTAATAAATAATAAATATAATTTAAATACGCATAGGTATACATTCTTAATAGGGCAATTCACCTGCCTGCGAGTATCTCGCTTAGCCAATTATGGTGTCCGGGTGTCATTGATAGATCTTCCCGGAGAACATCTTTTGCGCGTGCCATAGTAATCTTTACTGTATGTTAAAGTCAATGTACGTCTTAGTAAAATGAGTAAAGGATCCGTATATAAACGATAATGTTAACTGAAAAATGAATCGAACAAATGTGATCTAAGGTAATCAAAATTCAATTTTTGAAGGATTATATAAAAATCTTTATTTTTTTTAAGTAAATCCTTGCACTAATTACTGCAAGCATGAAAAGAAGAATTTTACGTACCTACATTGATTTTTTAAATATATTATACTATATATTCTATAAGTATCCAATTTATATAATATTTTAACTTTATATATAAACAAAAAAAAAAAACTATATGCACTATTGATAAATATAGTGAAATAAATAAAATACTGGATATTCCTTATAAACAAAAAGCCATAATCGCTACTCCTATACCAAAATAAACGTATATCCTTCCATAGCCCAACTATCACTTGTACTAATACACCAAATATCATCTATAGGTAATAAACAAACACTTTCAAGTTAATAGAGATTATGACATCATTTCTATCTAGATAACGTAATATTTAGTGCTTTATAGTGGAACCCTGATAAAGATCGCTCGAATTGCACCGACAGGTGGGTGCTAATTATTAATCAACAGCTGCAGAAAGAGCCATATTTTTATGTATTTAATGACACGATTAAAATAGTCACCAAAACAGTAAAAAATACTCTACAAGCATGCACTTGTACTGCAATTTGTTCCTGTATATAACTATGTTAAATATGTACGATGTTTTTGTCCATTTTTATAAAATAAATAAATACATAATTATAGTATTGAAACGAGTAATATTAAATACTTGTCTGTATAGTTACGGATACATTATAATTTAGGTATAATGTGAAATCAGTCCTATTCTTTCTTAGGACGACATAACGAGGTGGAAAAGGGGACAAAATACACTAAGATACTATAAGATCAAGGAAATGAAAAATATCTATACCAAACCACTAGCTTGGGTATGTATGGAAGAGACTTGTACTCACTTACAAGTAATAATGGCATTAAATTTTAAAAATTGAAAAAACGTAGAATATCTAGATAAAACTATTTTGAATATATGTTAATCCTTCAACTTTCTTTTATATATATGTATATTAGTATATAATGTACTCATTATTATATATTAACAGCAAATGCCGATAAATACAAATGACAATAATATAATGATAAATAGACAAGATAATGATATTTAATAAAAGATCCATTAGTAAGCTTGGTAAAGTATGAAAGTCAATTCATTTTATTAATGGCGCGAGTACTTGAATATAATAGACGACAAACAATTTGCACCAATTGGATGCACTGGTCAGTGCAATGATGAGTGGCTTCCGACCTTTATATAATTATTCAATATACAGTAACTATAAAGTGTCATATTTTTTCCGAAGTGATAATTTAGTTCACGACATTGAAAAAATGCAGTATAATTTATAACTTACTTCTGTTAAAAATCGGTTTAATAATTTACATTATCGAATACTTAAGATGTTGAGAATTTGTGCCTCAAAGGAGAGAGCAGTAATCTATCTAGAGCACCATCTATTACTAACTGCTACTTTTTTTAAAAAGTAAAGTTATTTTCCAGGCATATTTTAATCTTAGGGCTGTTTAATATCAAAACTTACGTGTATTAATTACAGTTGACATTATAATATAAAAAAAGTTATGCACCAATATATTCTATGTTATTATTTAATTTCGAATCAAGGTAAGAACTGATTTCATCATTACAATCACATCATACTAATACTCTTGGGTACACGGTTTAAATTGGTTAGTAACAATGGTCACATAAAACGAGTCCTGCTAGAAATGAGGCGGATGCGGCTACATTAGGAAAGTGTGCCGAGGTAGCCGAGGTTTGCCACCACAATATCGGAGACAGACTGCATTGCGTGGCCGCGATATTTATCTCCCGTTGGATACCGCTACTGGGACAACAAAGCTTACTAACTTTACTAATTAGACGCTATATCCTATCCGTTGCTAGTTTTTTCAAAAAGACACATCATTTATTAATATGCATCGATTCGTTTAGCTTACAGGTAACGTAATATACTTTATACTTATTTATTTCTTCACACTCGCAAACAGTATCCTTCTTTTTTTGATAATCGGGTAAAAAACGTTAAACAAAACTCCGTTACTAATTAATTCGTTTGTGTAGTTTTGACGTTATATGTCAAATTAGTCGTTGATTGCCAATTAGCGTGATTATATAAGTGGAGGATTAATTAACGAATACTTACCTAATATTAACTTATTTTTAGCAATATTTTTGTTTCATAATTATAAACGCGAAATACACAGTATATAAGTAGATATGTAGTTATAATTGCCAGTTGCTCAAGTTCAAAGGTGTCCCTTGTGGCAGTAACAATCGTTCGACCAAGTCATGATTTCGCCCACGCTCACCACGACAATATATATTATTGCATAGATCCTATTCGGTACAGACTAAATCTACAACAATAGTATTATCAAGGGAATTGCAAATCACTAGTTGCCGAGAGATTCAAGAGAAGTTTGAAAATTCCAATGAGGTTCTACAATTTGATAAAGAAACCAGTTGTTCTAGGGATTGGACAGCAGCTGTACAAACACCTGTATACACGAATAGAAATACCACTATTACCAGGTGACTTATTTAAATTTAAACGCCTTATGTACGAAGACTATATTGTACATAGTCCATATATTATAGTAATTAAGACTTTCGTTCTATTTTGCTATCGTGGGAAAATATTATATCAGTGGTATTGAATAGGATATCCAGGGGACGATTAACTCCGCACCTGACCATTAAATCGTGAACACTCTTTTTATGTAGTAGCCAGGTAATTTTTTTTTCTCAGATTTATTATAGAGATGGTTCGTTATATTCGAGTCTTCTATTTTTTTTATAATGAAAAACGGTGCGATCGTTATTTTAAAGCTTTCTACACCTGTTAGCATTTTGTGTATCTAATGAGTATTTAGGATAATGTTAGTTTGGACAGTAAATTCAGTTTTAATTTTCTCTATAAATCTAATTGATATAAAAGCAATAAGATACATTATATATATATATAATATATATATAATATATATATATATATATATATATATATATATATATATATATATATATATATATATATATATATATATATATATATATATATATATATATATATATATATATATATATATATATATATATATATATATATAAAAATAGTAAGGTATAGAACAAAAAAATATTTCTTTGAACCAAATTATGAACTCATTTTTAACTTACATAATATTCCTAGTATTTTTGTTTCTTTATTTAGGTGTTTCAATGTGCCCGAGACATTGATTAACCAAAATAGAAAGTAGCCTATTCTATTCCTTACTACATGTATGTTAAATTAATTTTATGACGATTAGTTAATGCCTGAAGACCCCAAGAGCATCGAATAAATAAATTTACTTTCACATTTTGTCCATAAATAAGGATCTTACAATATTAGTCCATAAATAAGGATCTTGATGATTTATTGATTAATATTGTACATAAAAAGATATATAGTCAATCGCGTGTTAAGAATATCAATTTTAATAGTAACAAAAACAACATTTCCTGATTATTTGAGGTAAAGGAAGTTTTACATTTATACCCTACCTAACAAAAGACTATCAGGTGGACATGCTATATCATTCTTTTGTATTCTCCCCTAACTAAAGTTTCGATTTGATACGTTACTTTCATTACAATCTATTATACCATCATGTTAAGCCACAGGGGAATGAAAACCACACCTAAAATGAAAATTAACACGAA